GGGGGGGGGGGATGCATTTAAAAAATGCAGACGCCTGGTACTCCCTCCAGACCTACTAACCAGACTCTTTGGTGGTGAAAGTCAGGAATCTGCATTTTATCAGTCTCCCCAGCTAATAGTCCCTGGCCCAGACAGAGAGAGCGGGGGAAGATTACATGGTTTTATCCACCCCAAGGGCTCCCTAGGGCCACTTTGCACAAGGGAGTCAGCCTGACAGGCACATCAGCTACCTCCTTGGCCGAGTTTTCCTTTGCTCTAACCTGTGTAGGGCAGACAGTGAGAAAGGAACTGTGCTGGACTCACACTATTCAGCATCTATCCGTAGTCATTTACAATTAGCTAGAGTACAAAAGCCAGCCCGGCCTGGCAGCTAAGGCGGTTGGCGCTTAGCCCCTACACCAGAGCGGTTTGGGTTCAGTTCCCCGCCAGGGCACCTGCCTAGGTGGCAGGTTTGATCCCTGCCCAGGGCATGTACGGGAAGCAAGGGATCTGTTTCTCCCTCACATTGATGTTTCCCTCTCTCCCCCCCCACCCCTCTCTCTGAAATCAATAAAGAGCATGTCCTCAGGTGAATATTTAAAAGAAAGAATAAGAAGGATTCGCACAAGAAAGAAAGGAGGAAAAAAGATTAATAAAGAACAAAACAAAAAATAGGAAAAAAAGTTAAAAGCAGAAAAGAAGGCTTCAGCGCTCACCAGCCCTAAAAATATGACCTGGGCCTATCTCAGTAACGTCTCAAACATGGGAGAGCAGCAGCAGGATCTCAAACAGTGAGCAGGGAGAACAGGGAAGACACCGTAAAACACGCCTTCAGCTTACGGCGACCTTCTGCTGCCTGTTGCTATTACCTGTTGGGCCAGAGACTTGCTCAACAGTGGGATGGCAAAGTATCTTTTCCTTACCAAATGCTTACTGTGGAAATATTATAGGATACCTCTTGGGAAGGTAGACGCCTATAGCAGAAAGGTGTTGCCCTGAGATAAAAGCAATAAATGCTTTGGTTTAGAGAGCAGGGACATCTCACAAGACGATCAGCCATGCAGGCCTCCGTGCTGGGTCACTCCTGAAACTGGATCAGGACCAAGGCCCAGCTGACCCAGTCCCAAGTCCAGGAGAGCCCAGGAAGGTTAGGCTGGCAAGAGGCCCTCCTTCCCTCCCCCAGCACCTGATAGATATATCTGCACACGTATCTACCTCGATCCCCCTTCCTCCTTCCCTCACTACCACCTCCATGAGCCAAATGAAACTCTAAAAGAGGCATCTCAGGCAAACCAGCTTTTAGTTTTTCCCCTTTTCATTTTTTAGTTTTTCAATACGTATAATGCCTTAACAAATCAGAAATATTTGACTAATCATGACCTCATAGTATATACTCACACCAGAATTAGCAAGTTGAAGATACTACATGGCACTGTCCCACAGATGGTATCCCCATGCCTCTAGTGCAAAAACAGAAAAAGACAGCCCATCCTCAAACACTTCACTTCCATCTGTTGAGGCATCACTAATTTTATGACAGATGAGAAAACTAAGGCTAAGGGATTAACGGTTAGTACACCATGTTTCTTTTTTTTCACCCAGAATTAACCATAAAGTCCAAATTATTAGATGCAAAGGAAAACATCCTTGAACATCTGGGCACATCATGCCAGGCTTTAGGCAGCTAAATGTTTAAAAACCTGCCATAATTACTGTGCTAGGCTTAGCTTTTTTCCTCAAAAGAAATGTCCTCCTTAGGGAAAATTCTGTGAAACCAAAACTGCCTGTTTATACAACAATAAAGTTTAAGATGCAAGAACACCACAAATTTTGAGACATGTTGACAATAGCATGAAATGCATTTAGGCACAAACTTGAGACACAAAGACAGACAAAACCACCACCAGTGTCCATAGCTCATGGCAAAAAGCAAGGGCTAGTGGTGTTCTTCTAGATTCTAGAAGCTAAGAGAGGTCTCCTTTATATTGTCTTGCTCATAAAGAACAGCTCTGAAATGTCTCCTTTTCACAAGCAACTCAGTCGGCACTATAACTCTTACGATGGGAAAATGCAAAAGCTTGGGCAGAAAGCTATAGTGTATGAACTTTTCAACCAATTGGAATAAACCATGAAATACCAGCCTTGGAGTTCTGAAGCAAAGAGGGGCAGGGCAATTTGAACTAAAGTAAAAAATGTTACACAGGCTCTAGAAAATGCCAGTCACTGGGGGCGGGCGGGCAGGCAAGTGAATGAATAGGCTCTATTCCCAAAGCCCAGAAATCACGACAGTCCCATCTTCCCAGAAACAAGAAGCTCCTTAGCTTCAAGAGCCTCAGTGAGTCCTTACCCTTCAACTCACCTGTTTACTGATCCCCGGAGTTCCCTCAAGGGGGGAAAATTTAGCTCTATAACTTAGTTTTGATAGATTCATTCATGCCAGTGCACGTAAAGTTATGTGCTGCTTCCTTGTTTTCACGGGGAGAAAGAGATGAACCAGGATAGAGACGACAAATTAGACTTTGGTTCTGCTGAAGGGCCGCCTTGCTCACCTTTTAGTAAGGACAGGCAGAGGCATGTAGTTCTATTCAAATTCTAAGATTTTATTTTTTTTTAAGTTTGGCATCCTGCAGCTTTTCTACAAGATTTATGGTATTTCCTAGGTAGCTGACCAACATCGAAAGGACTGGGAGTCTGAACACCCTAGGCAGGAGGGAAGACGAACCCTCTTCAACAGGGGGTCCAAAGCCTTTTTACTTCTCTGATCACCCTCATGTGATCTTCTAAAGGTTTCTTACCAACAACTGTTGGGGACTTTCTACCAAAGTTAGTGATAACAGTCCAGCTGAGACTGGACACTAAACAATCTCACTCCAGGGGTCGCAGTTTAAATGGCTCATTGGCAAGAAATGCCTGTGGCCTTTCCATGAGACTAATGCAAATAGTCACGCACTTGTTTCTTTTCAGCTTTGGTTCCCTTACAGCAACGCAGTCGGTCAGGAGTTCCTTCTGTTGGTTTAAAAACCCATTCTCAAGGGGTCCAGTAAACGGGCAAATGAAGGCGACTATCACCCAGTAAAATCCTTATACGCACATTAGCTTTTTCTTTTTTGTCTGTGTGGAAACGTTTATTTGTACTAATGTTTAGAATACAGGAACTAGAAGAAAAACACAGCTCCAAAGTGACAGTGAATCAAGGCCTGCCCAAGGCCAAGGGGAAGGCCATGCCAGGCTGTCCCTCCCACTACTATAGTATCACCAAGCAGAAAACTGAGTTATCAGGGTGTGAAGACCTTACGAGCTGCTAGCGAGCATGCAAGGGAAGAAAGGGATGTCTGTGTGGCTTCCGTGACCCTGGATCCAGGATACACAGAGCAGGAGGCTGAGACTCCCAATTCAGTTAAGGGCAGGAGCTGAACACCCAGGTCCAGGAAGAACAAAAAGGGGATTTCAGAGGTAAGCTTTTTCATCAAGTTACAAAACAGGCACATTGTCCGACATCTCTGTGTGACCTCAAAGCGGCTGGCCTGGACCCCTGATGCTTCCCCTCTCCCCACAACACCAAGGGAATGAGGAAGGCAGACCATAGGAAATTCCAAGGGTGGGGAATGCTGCAGTCACTAGAGACCGCCTGTGAGTGAGCCAGGTGAGCACAAGAATCAGGGTGAAGCTGCTGCTCCCCCTGGGATGGGACAGGGCAGGACCCAGAGGGTGACCAAGAGCATACTGGCTCAGGCAGAGGATCCTGGGTAGCAGGAACAGAGGGCCGGCAGAGCCACTCTGGGGGGACACGTTAACTTTTCACTTGTTTAAAACCTGTCATCAAACATTCCATTTTTGGCATTAGTCATCCAGTGTGATTACGCTGCCAGATTCCCTCTGACAGCCAAGTGGAATTCATGTATGTGTATTAATAACCCTGTCATGCAGGCCAAGCGGCTCTATGAAAGCAACACACAAAGCACATGGAACACACAGCATAAAACTGATCTATTCTGCAGTGAATTTTATTGAACTCACAGGAGACATTCCTTTATGAAAAATAAAAAGACTAAGGTTATACAAGCATGCATTGCGAGACAAAACAATTATGAGGCCTGCTCAGACCAAATCGGAGCGGACACCAGTTCACACGACAGCCCACCTGACGGTGTTTTTATTCAGTACAGACAGCCAGCCAACAGTGGCGACAGGGGGAGACCATAAATGCAATGTGACCTTTTGTGACCTCTGACGAGGCTCTGACCAGTCTATCATTCTTTTCTTACCAGCCAGGTTAACAAAATGACCCACCTGCTAATGCCAGGAACTTCAAAGACATTAACCAGTTGGAAACGACTATCATGAAGGGGCCCTTTTTTCTAGCTAGCTGTTTCCCCAATTCGGAGCTGTCTAGCAGGTTCATTTTAACATAGCAGAAGGCGTCATCTGGCTGGCTACACCACCCACTGGTGACAGGGACAGGATTAATGTGCTTTGTGCTCAGGTTGCTGGGCCTCCTGGCTGGTTGTAGTCTTCTCTGCAACTTGGACCTGAGTATTCTGAGACTCAATCACCTGAGGATAAAAGGGACCTACCAGCCAGTTGAGGGGTGTGTTGTTTACAAGATAATCCATCACATCATCTAAAGACTCCTTCATTTTCTGCAGCTGCCCCTTGCTAGAAGTGAGGAAGCCGTCGGACACTTCTTTAAAGGAGGCAGCATTGCGGAACACTGAGTAGATGTCTCCAGCCATCACCCCCAAGTGACTGGCCTGATCTTGGATGTTCTGTGGTAACCCTTGGACGTTTGACAGGAGGGTGGAACATGTGGTCTTCAGCTGCTGAGTCAGGTTGCGGGCAATAGCAAGAGTACGTGACTCAATGTGCTAAAAATAAAACAAGTTTAAAATTAGCAGTGGGCCCAACAATGCTAAGTATGAATGAGTTCAATTACACTAAGCTGGTTATGTGTCCATCAAACATGTGAATTCTTCAACTTTTTAAAATCCTCATTAACAACCCTGAGTGCTGCAGTCTTTTTATTCACGTCATAGATATGCGTACTAGCTTTTGGAACCTAAAGAACCACTTTTGAGGACTACGACATGCTTTTTCTTCTGTTTGGAACATCAGTCCCCTTACTGCCCTTTCACCCAGTTTATTCTCCCACTCAGTCCCAGCTTAATTTAACACTCACCTCCTCCAGGAAGCCACCTGACTCACCCGTCCTCTCCAAGACCAAGTTAGGTACTTTTCCGATATAGTCTCATTGCCTGTTTTTATGCTGTCAAAAACACCATGACATAAAAATGCCTACATCCCCTATTTGTCTGTACTGAGGGCAAGGCCCATGTTCTAATTTAGCTGTATCCCGTTAGGGGAAATATGCATATCTGTAGGTTGTTAAAGTTACTGCAGCTTTGCTTTTCTGTTCAAACTTTTGCTGGAGAATAGTATTCTCAGAGGCATTGCAGGAAAACTGAAGTGAAAGTCTGGCAGCACTTCTTCCGAAACTGTCGCGGATGACTGTGTCCCAGTCAGCTGTCTTACCTCAGCACAGTGGGATTCATCAGTGTCATCGTAGCCGATGTTTTTCTTCCATTCCACCCAGGAGAGATAGAACTTATCCTGAGCATCCTGAATTCTCTGGTTGGCACTATGCACATTCTCCCTGGCAAACTCAATCTAGAGCACATTGAAATAAAACAAAGGAACCAGTCAGATATTTGTGTCAGCCTGTTCTCAGATCTATAATGTAAATCACAGAACATAAAATAGGAATATCCGTAAGTTTAAGGAGAGCAATCCCTGCCATCATTGTTATTTATTATCAAGTAATCGTACTTCTTTGCTGCCTCTATTTAACTATTAAACCACTGTCTTCAATTTTACCTCCAGTTTAGCATGGGTAAGGCAACTGCAATTTAATATTTATGTGTAAAATATAAGAAAAAATTACATAAGAGAAAAAATTCAAACTTCCTCTTCCCTATTGTCAGCCGCCCATTTCCCCTTCCAAGAATGGCTGTAGAGTACAAACTGTTCTATAAAGTGGCAATCTTTAATGGCTACACAATAGTCTTTTGTGATGTATCAATTTAATTAGTTCTCTGTTAGTTGACCTGCACTGGTTATAGTCTTTTGCAACTCTAAACAAACATGTATCTGTGGGATAAATTTCTACAAGTAAATCTGCCGAGGAATAGGTGTGCTTATAACTTTCCAAGAACCGTCCCTCAAATCCTCCAGAAGTCCACAAGTCCGCCTCTTTACACCATTGCCTACAGCGTCACACTTTGCCAGTGTGTTAGGAAAAGAGAGGCATCTGTAATTGGACCCCTCAAAGGAAGATTAACATCACTTCATACATTTCAGTGATTTATACTTCCATTTCTGTGAGCTGTCTGTCTACTCTTCACCCATTTTTCTACTGGGTTGTTCATAAGGTAAAATTAAAATTCTTGGATTTCGTGATTACATTTACTCTCATCCCTTGAGATAAATGAACTCACTTCAGATGCCTTTAAATGAGCTTTTACTCACCAGGTTAACAGTGGAATGGAGCTGAGAAACGGTGTCTTGGCTTTTTTGCTTAGCTTCTTTCACCGTGCTGAGAGCCTGCTGGTAGGCCCGTGAGCGGAGCTTAGTAGACAGGGACCCCAGCCTAATATAATAACTTGGCTTCTGAACGGTATCAAATCCTTCTACTTTTTTTGCTTCTTTTTCTGAAGTTAGAAAGAAGAGACAAAAAAAAAAACAAAACATAAGGGATCACAGCTGTAAGTGACAAGGCCAGGACTCTAACCTGGATCTTGATTCTATCCACCCACCTAGCAATTATGCACTCATTTTCCCAAGACAACTCATGTCTACTGCTGGGCTTGACTACCCAGAATATATCACTGCAACCGACAGGTTCATCTACACATGTCTCTTCCCACTAGAGTGAGCTTCTTGGGCAACACGGTACCTGGCATATGGTAGCCACTGAAGGTTTAATGATTCTGTAAAGCAGCCCATTAAAGACTATCCATTTGTAAAAAGTATTTCTCTAGGCTAATTTCTCCTAAAGTTTCAAAATTCACTATGTACAATTCAATGTGAAACTTAATATTGCCTTAAGAAAAAATCTACAAGGATAGAAAGATTAGTGGTTGTCTGAGAGAGATAAAGGAGATTCAGGCATAAAGGATCTTTTAGGGCGATAGAAATGTTCTAAAACTGGACTGAGGTGATGGTTGCACAACTGTAAATTTAGTATGAAAAAGGTGAACTTTTTGGTATATGAAGAATATCTCACTGAAACTGATTTAAGATATACAACATTATTTAGAGACAAAAATCCATGTACCTAGCTCTTCCTCAGTGAGAGGGAGGTACTGGTCTACCAGCAGCTCTGACGTGGTGAGCGCGTTTTCCATGCCACTGCTCACGAGCTGCATCATCCGGCTCCCCATGACTGTATTAATGCTGCCATTGACCACAGACTTGGTCTTCTCCACACTGCCAGTCACGGCTCCCTTGGTCTTGTCCATCATCCCCGTGATCGTGTTGGCCACAGAATCCTTGGCCCCGGTCACGGTCGTCGTCACAGCATCTTTCGCGCCATTCACCGCACCTCTGGCACTGGCAACAACCTACAAGCAGAAAAGCAGATCACTTGGCTGGTGAGAAACAAGTGCATAAACACATATTTAAGGTCTTAACTAAGGCAGCATAGTTGAAGAGTTAAAGAAGCAATCGAGACCTTTCACTTTCTAGCATTAGGCCTTGGGCAAGTCACTAAGAACTGCTGAGCCTCAATTTCCTTACCAGGTACATTTGCCCTACCTGCCACCACTCAAGGGTTGCTGGAGGAGCAAATGAGGTAAAAGATATATGAGGTGGAAAGCCTCAGCACTCCTGCCCCAAGCTCACCTGGTCTGTTGGCTGGTTCAGAATAGGCAGTTTCTCCTCAATCCTGTCTAGCCCCATACAGGCATAGGTATTGGCAACAGCAACTAGAAGAATCACAAATAAGGGAAATGTTAACAGTGTAGGTACAGAATGGATACATGTTATTATACCTTAAAAAATTAGTTACAAAAAACAGCAAGAACAATGATCTTCATTTATCACACTATGCATTGCCCAGTTTCTCCAGCTCAGACAGGAAGAGGCTGAGCAGGCTGCTGGCAACTTTCTTCCACTGACAGGGAAATAAGGGGGTGTGGGAGCAGCAGGCAGAAGTAAGACGAGCCAGGTAGGAAGCTGGCTAGGAAGCTTCTCCCTCATCCACTGGCTCCTAAGGTTAATGCCAAGAGAAGCCAGGCTTCACCTGAACCCTCATTCAGGGAACAAGGTATCTGAGAGCTCTCAAAATTAGCATTTCCATGCTGGTTTAACCCCTACCTACACTTAATTCAGTACATGGCAACAGGGAGTGGTACACTAACAGCACTCTGGATCTCCCTAATAAGGCCTAGATTTTAGTCCAAATTTACCCCTAATGATGACCAGGCCAACCAAGCACTAGTCCTAAATTCATTTGGGAAGTAGCAGAGCTGGAAAACTGGTCTCTAGAGGTTCCTTATACTCCAGAGAGTCCACAACTTAACCATATGGGGGAATGATTTAAACCTTCATTCAAAAGGATTCATGTGAGCCCGGCTGAGCATGGCTCAGCAGTAGAGCCTCGACCTAGGATCCAGGAGATCGCGGTTCGTATTCCCGGTCAGGGCACGTGTCCAGGTTGCGGGCTCGATCCCCAGTCAGGGGCATGCAGGAGACAGCCTATCAATGGCTCTCTCATCACTGATGTTTCTATCTCTCTCTCCCTCTCCCTTCCTCTCTCTGAAATCAATAAAGATATTTTTTAAAAAAGGGTTCATGTGGAAAACCTTGATATGCTGCTAGTGGGAATGTAAAATGATAAGCCACTTTGGAAAAGCCTGGCAGTTCCTCAAAAACCGAAACAGTTATTGTATGACCTGGAAATTCCACTCCTAGGTATATACCCAAGAGAACTGAGAACATGTGTCCACACAAAAACTTATACACAAATGCTCACAATAGCATTCATTATTCTTACTGTCAAAAAGTAAAAGCACCCAAATGTCCATCAACTGATGAATGAATAAATAAAATATGATCTAACCACACAATGAAATATAATTCCACAATGAAAAGGAATGAAATACTGACATGCTGTGTAACTACTGCCCGGATCATTCCCAGAACTTTCTAATCATCCAGACAGAAACTGGTATGAGGTTCCTTCCTGGGGTGATACAATGTTCTAAAACTGATTGTGGTGATGCTCGCACAACTCTGCGCATATACTAAAAAAAACCATTGACTCTGCACGTGTTAAGTGGGTGGATTGTATGGTGTGTTAACTGTCTCTCAATAAAGTTGCTATTATTTATTTTTAAAGCAGTTCATGTACACTGTCTGGTCCCAAGGAAGTCCATTTCAGTTCACGCACTGGCTTCCCTTGTGACTTCAGTTGCCAACATAGAAGCATCTATGGAGGATTTTTTAAAAAATTTTATTGATTGATTCTAGAGAGGAAGGGAGGGGAAGGGGGGGGAGGGATAGATACTGATTTCTGTTGATTCTAGAGAGGAAGGGAGGGGAAGAGGAGGGGGGAGGGATAGATATTGATTTCTGTTGCTCTACTTATTTATGCATTCACTGGCTGACTGGTGTATGTGCCCTAACCGGGGATTGAACCCACAACCCTAGTGTATCTGGACGATGCTCTAACCAACTGAGCTACCCAGCCAGGGCTTGTGGGGGGATTTTTAAAAAGTTATCATGAACATCTGCCATTGCTATGAAGCAAGCCTTCTATAACAATGAGGGTCACCGGGCAGTTTCTAGACAAAGGCAGTATGTGCCTCAGGACAGGCCGAGGATTCCCGGATGCTGCCTCTGGGTGCTCAGGGCACTAGGCTGCGATTCACCATATTCAAACCAGCTCCAGGCTCGCTCCTAACAGGTCCCTCCTCGGACTAAATCTTGAGTGGGAATCAGAACTCACTTTGCGGCTCTAGCTTCTGGATGATGGGCTGGGCGCTCATCACAGCCACCGATGTGATGGTCTTCACGCCCTTCTCTGCCATCTCACACACCGACTTCAGGTAAGGATACTGATCCTTTGTGCTGACGTAAGCCGAGGACACCAGGTCATATGTGGAGCTCAGTAAGGGTAGGTTGGCCACCCTAGTCACCACGCTCTGCAACCAAGAAAGGGGGGGGGGTGTTAACTTTTCAAAACACAAGGGGAGGGAAAGGAATCAAGAAACAGCTGTTTAAAATTCATACCGGTTGTGGATCCACTGCAACAGACACCATTTTTTCTTCCTGGAGAAAGGAGAAACCTGCGGAAGAGAAACTTATTTCAGGACACTAGGATAAGACTCCCCCAGATTCATTCCCCAACTCAAGCAAATGCTCATCTCAAGTAGAGAAAAATGCAAGGTGACTGCGCTTCCTGCCACCCTCCAGCTCTGAGAGCTCTCCCCTGGGGCCGAGTTCCAGGGCGCCCGCCTAAACTTGCAACACCAAACAGGCTCTGCAGGGAAAAGCGAGGTCGCTGAGGTTTTTGCCTGGTCTCTCCCCCAGGATACCAGAAACGCCTTTAGAAGGGGAAATACCGGTTCGCAGAAATGCTAACCGAGTTAAAATCCACGTTAAGCCTAAGGAGAGGTTTCAAGCAGAAGGCAGCTTGCACAATCTGGACTACGGAGCTTT